CTTCAATTCTATTAAATAAGGTGAAGAAGATTGTTAGATAATAAAATAGACTTATGTCTTAAAATTGAATTTCTTATTTTTCCAATACTCAATTCAAGTTCGTTCCGAAAGTTGATCACCTTTCAAATTAAATTGTGAAATGTTATTTCGACTATATGTATCTGACTCAAAACTTCTTATTATCGATCTTTAATAGCGTTATACAGTGACATTCATTTCTTTGGGGAAAATCTGTCGAAAAATATTAAGATCTCGATAGAGAAATTTTCAATAAGGCTACACATATGGTTCTCGATCTAAAACAACCTACTCAACAAGACTGAATAGATTTCATGTACATGTAAAATTTAGATCGAGTACTTCTCTATGGCAGAAGTCCATATCTTACATGTAACGTCTATTGTATTGTCAATTCCCTACTACGTCATTGATGCATATAGATATTTTTTATTCTTATATTCACTTCAAGTACGACTATAGTTCTTTTTTTTCAATAAAATAATAAAATGATAAATATTCTTATTATCTAGATTAATGTTTTCAAGACAGCATATAATCGATAATGATAGATACACATATTTATTGATCTCTTTCGGCATATTAGATTTAGTCATTGCTGATTGTATGATTTATTTTTGACTTGTTTCACAAACTATTACAACAAAAAAGCGTCGACAAATACATTCGTCGTTCATTGAACAACGGTAAAATAACAAAAACGAGTAGCATATTTTTATGCTATTGAACGTATAAAAATATTTCATAAAAGTGACAAAAATACATGACTAATTGAAAACTATTTTCAAGAAGAACAAAAAATAAATAAATTTTATTGAATATACAATTTTATTAATAACATATTGTGTAAATTAATCAATAGGAATCAATTAAAATTACTTTGATATTTTACTCAAATTTTTCATGTCCAATTTCAACTAGACTGCCATGTCTTGTGCTACTTTTTAATATAATTTATCAAATTGACCATTCGATACTTTTTTGAATCATACCCAGATGCGTAAAAAAACAAGTAAAAGACTAGTCGTATGTTTAGTCATGCCAATACGTCTCGTCTAGGTTTTTTTCTCAAAAAGTTCTAGTATATAACTAGTTCGAAATCAATTGCAGTCCATAGTTCACGTCCTGACTTCTCAACTCATGGAAGTCATTCAGTTTCTGATGTCTAGTCTTTTTGAAAAAAAGACTAGACATGTTGTGCTGTCCCTCATTCCACATCAAAAAATGATTTTAAGGGAAGTCGCGGTTCCCACTTTTCGATTCAAAAAGTCTCATTCGATAGAGGGTGTGGATGTAGGTCTGGATCTGCATGCGTATTTGAGTTTCGGCGCTTGTGGATATGGGCCTCCTTTTAAGCCACACCCACATCTACACCCTCACCCGCATATAAACTGCATTATTGTAATAGTCTTATTCATGAAATAGTTAATGGTGAAAAAATTTATTATTTTATATTAAAACAAAAACAAAAAAATGACTATTATCTCATATATGGGTTCTATGAATTTCTGACCGGTCCGAAATTCCGGTGATTTTCCGGGCCGGATCGAGATTCCTTGTGGGCTTTCGGCCCATGACCTCATTGATGCCTTAAATATAAAACCTAATTTTTTATAATTAGTTGGTAAACATTGTAATGCTGAGCAGGACGTCGTAGTGCTGAGCAGTATGGCATAGTGTTGAGCAGAGGGTGTGGAGTGTGGATATCCCTTACTTCAACACTCACGCCCACACTACCCCACATCTCACCGACATCTACGTCATAATGCTGAAGTATGACGTCCTATCCAGCACAACGCCATAGCGCTAAGTGCTATGACGTAGTGCTGGGCAGTATGGCATACTGCTGAGCAGAAAATCATACTACTCAGCGCTATAACATTCTGTTCAGCAGTATGTCAACTACTCAGCACTACAATGTCTAGCAACTAGTTTTAGAAAGTTAGATTTTTATTTTAGAACCAATGAGATCATGGGCCCAAAATTCCATAGGCGGAAATTCTGGTCTCCCCTAGTGTATGACAACAATTATCAATGAAATCAGGAGGTCTCAAATGAAAAAGACATTTTCAGTTTTAAATGTAGAAATAAATAATAAATTCTTGCTCTTGTCATCGATTATTAGTGAAAAGAGCTACGGTCGACAGGAAAGTTTTCAGTTTGTAAATGATGCATTACGATAACAACGTTGAAAGATATACGTTAGTTCCGCACTTCATCTCCAAAGGAGCTGCGCTAACAAACTTTTATTGTGCTGATTCGAAATATCATATTATTAAAAGATAAAATACGAACTCTACTGCTCGAAAATCGTCAAATATTAGTAGAAAACATGGTATTTGTTGTGATTAAGAGTACTTAGAAGAAAAGTAAATCTCCAGTCATCGAATATCAAGGTAAAATGAGATAGTAAGTAAGAGTACATAGAATTTCGTATTCATAAAATAAAATAATGTTGATATAGAAGAAAAAAATTCAGTATCGAATCGACCTATTTGTGATGAATATGAACCGAAATTTAATAAGCTTTTGAGTCAAACACTGATTTTTAAAGCTTTCATTGAATGATTCATATTTTTCTTATTATCCGAGTACTTTCGTAAAGTTATATGATATTTGGAATCAGCACACTTAAGACTATCGAAATATAAGGACTTGAAACAGAACGACGAGAAAATTTTTTTTGGAATATCTGAAGGAAACTCCAAGCATGAAAATCGACATTGACGATTTTTGGGGAATATAGTTGAAGAAAGTGAACAGGGACGCTCGCGTTTTCGATAAGTCAGAAACGCTTACGCTCACCGTGAGTGTGAGCTGTACACCCCTACTCTAAAATTTCATCTTGATTGATTTTATTCCTGATGTTGGCCTATTCTAGTAGTAACATGTGTTATGTGTTAAAATACCAATACGAAGTTTCACAAGTGTCTATTATGACAAATTTTTAACCAATTTTTTCAACATCTTTGTGTTCAGATGGATAAGCTTTGTATTCGCTCATATATAAAAACTCGTTGATAGTTAGGTTTAAATGCTACACAAATTCATGATGAATTAATTGCTGTTTATGGACAAGGTGTTGTTGTTTCATATAGTACAATTCCTCATTAGATTGATCGGTTTTCAAGTGGACGAAAGTCGTTAGAAGATAATCCTCGTAATGGTCGCCTAATAACCGTCATTACTAAACAAAATATTGATGCGGTTCAGGACCTAATGAATGATGATCCACATATTACTATTGATTATGTTACTCTCACCTCAGACACAGTTATCATATAAACTATCGTGATGAATATTTGAAGATTTCAGTCAAAAATTTACATCAGAAAAAAAACATCATCAAAAACCAGTAGCCTAAGTTTGCATTATAAAATTGCGAAATTACATATTCAAGATACTGTTCTTCATCTTTACTATCTTCAAGAGGAAAAATGAAAGTTATGGCTCATCTACCATACTCATCTAACCGTGCTCCTTTAGACTTTTGGTTGTTCAGTTGTCTGAAACGCAGCCTTGATACATATCCAGATGCTACAAGTTTAGCTAGAGCAATAACCAACGAGCTTAATTCAATATCTATTCAAGAATACCGAAAGACATTTCAGAAGTGGATTGAAAGGATGAAACTTTGTATTGCACATTGTGGGGACTAGTTTGAACATTTACTGTAAAACGATTAACAAAATGTTTTTTTTCTATGAATAAATTTTTGAAAGTCCGAGAACTTATTGACTAACCTATGTAAATATTCGGATCTTTTAGCCATCTTTTTTAAAAATATAAACTAAATGATGAATGACATAGTAACATTGTAGATAACTTGTAAATTGTTTCAAAACTTTTTCTTCTATAATCGAATTATCTATATTGTCATAAAGAAAATTCATGCTTATGTATTATGTCAATCTATATAATGAATTCATCTGCAAATTAAATAATAAAGAAGATTAGGGGGTGGCACTTTACTTTTACTAGTAATAAGTAATAATTAATGGCATTATTACTTATTACCAGTAATAAGTAATAATTTTGAAAAGTAATAAAAGTAATAAAGAAATATTGGTAATAATATAATAAAAGTAATAACTGTTATTACTAATTACCAGTAATAGTAATAACCATACAAAAAAGTAATAAAGTAATAAGGAAGTAATAAGTAATAATAAATAGGATAGTAGAATTATTTCTGATCATCGATTAGATTTTCATTTCCTCACTAAAGCATTACGACACCGTCAGATTTCATTTTTCCACATAAATTGATCTAAATAGTTATACATTATAGATGGAAAAAGTATAGTTTTTGGATTATGCAGAACAAGTTTGATTAAAATAATACTTCACCAAGGCGTAGAAAGTTAACTTAACCTGGTAATGAGATCTTGTTAATTTAAACGGAGAAAACACTCGTACTTTTCTTTCATAATTTATGCAATTACCATTATTAATAATCTTGGACCATATGATTGCGTACTAGGATTATAGTTTTTGAATTTTAAAAATATGTAAGTTTGTGGTATAAGTTGAATCATTAAATAACAAACGACACATGCTTTATTTTAGTCGATCCCTATAGTGTAAGACCTTTTGTCAACCTAAACCAGCTGTTATGCAAAAACTATATTGTATGCATTTTCTTTTTGATTAGCTAATTAAAATAAATGAAATTCATGTTTTTGATAAACAAGCATCCAAAGTTTATTTCAATATCTTTTCTTAAAATAAAAAATAATAAAAATATAGCTTTAAAAATGTGTATATCAAGAAATCTGACGTGCTACATATCCAAAAAACTTTCATCCTTTTTGATTAATAAAAAAAAATGTTTAATATATCTGACTTAATCTTTTAACCACATCAACATCTCGTAATACCATCGTATAGCAAAGATTAGTGGACGATAGAGAAGATCGTTGTTTCCTCTGTATATAATTAGCACAGCTAAATAATGATTCACTGGCGACGCTTGTTACAGGTCATAAGCAAAATCGAGGAACCAATGAAGCTAATATAGGCATTTTATCTTGATTTAAGTTCCAGTACGATTGAAAATTTCGTTTTGGAGTCTCTCTCGTCGCATAATAACCTAATTCTTGCTGTATAGCCCATATAGTTCTTTTGTTGGTGGTTTGATGAACTGGTGGTTTTTCTGCTAAGCAAATTTTTAATAAATAATCGATTGATTTTTCCATATGACCTATAGAGGATTCCATGGATTGTTCAGCATTACTTGACGAGACTGTAATATTATTTGTTGTTGCTGATGATATAAGTTTTTCCGACCGAAGAATTTCATTATATTCTTGAATAAGTATAGTTTCAGCTTTTTTCAAATCAGATACAGTCAAATATTGTTTTGCATATGGACATAAAAAGGCAGCAATCTGAAATAGTGAGACAAATAATCAAATCAAATAAAAAGCATAAGATTCAATATACTAATGCTAAACGACTTTGTTCTTCTGTGACTTTGACTTCGAAATACAATGTATATTTTTTTAAGAGTTGACTTTTTAAAATATTTTCCAAATGATGATATACATTTCGAGTTGATAAAAAATTTTTCAATTCAAAAACAATTACTTTTCCGGGAGCAATCGTTGCATAATTACGGGCAGATAAGGCATGTGTAGCACTTTGAAATGGATCAAGTATTTTTTTCAAAATAATTATCCATTCCCAACGTTGAGAACATAATGTTAATGACATTAGACAATCACATTTGGATCTTTTTAGATTCGTAATTTTTCCTGGAGTATTGGTAATATCAACAATTATACGACGATGTTCGATGAATTTTGTTAACATAACACAAGTTGTATTCCATCTAATATGGAAATCAAGTACAAGTTCACCACTTTGTATAGTTTTATCAGCTTTTGCTTGTCTACGAACATATTCATTAATTAAATAACATTTCCGAATTAAAATGATTAAACAACGAATACGACATAATAACAAATGCATACCAAATACTATTTTACCAGGAGGAGTATCATTTGTAATTGTATCTTCAAATATTTGTTCATCAACAATATCATTTAATTTTTCCTGAGCTTGTTGTTGTTCCTGTTCTTCACTACTAATGTTTTCTTCATCACTAGAATCTTCAATAACTGATTCTGCTTCTGATGTTGCATCTTCCTCTAATAAGACATTTGTATTTAGTGCATCCGATTCAGCCATACCTTTGGTAATCTGAATCTCTTCTGAATAGATCATTGGTTCTTCTTCCTCATCAGGTGATGTTGTTTTATTCAACCACATTCTTGAAGAAAAAACATTGAAATATAATAGAACACACACGAAATACAATAAGAAAAGTTGTTACTGACTTTCTTAATACAGATTTTTTTTTCCATAGACCTAAGTCTTGAGAACCCTAGTGAAAGTACTCACCTAAAGAGTACTCAAAAAGTACTCACGCTAGAAAATGCCGCGAATACTCATGAGTACTCGGGACTTTTGAGTACTCGTCGGTCGTACTCACTATGAGTTTCGAGTAAATGAGTACTACACATCGTTACTTTCATGCCACTGTATTCTAGTTGAGTACTACGATCATTCATTTCTTATAGTTAGTAG